TGGTGAATTTCCTGGGGACTGCGGCAGGGAGCCCACCTCAGCTGCCACTCATGCTCACGCCTACTATGTGTGGCTCTAGTTTGGACCAGCAATGCTGTACTTATGTGTCCAGGCAGCTCTCTCTTGTGCCTGCAATTTTTAGAAAAGGGGAAAAAATGTAGATGAAAGCAGGCTTTCCATCTTATCAGATTCTTAACCACCCCCTGAAGTACAAGATTCAGGGGAAGTTTCCTCCTGGTGGCCAAGGTTATGATCTGCAGCTTTCGTCTGAGCCTAGGCTATCCATAAAAGTTCCAGTGTTCATCTGGCCCTGTCATGCCCTGATGCCACCTGCCTGGGGAGGGCATGGGTGGGTACCTCCCCAGCTCTCAGGTCCTGCCCTACAGCTGAACACTGCACTCCCTTCCTACCACCAGTTAGGAGCTGGCCAAGGGCTCCATACTCTGAGGCCAGGGAAAGGGAGGCCCCAGGTGGGGACCAGCTGTCACCCACTTAGGGGGCTACAGGGGATTGACTTCTGAAGCCCCCAAACCTTTGCACCCTGAACAGCCTAGAATTGGATCTGGAGTGGTTCAAATGGAGTGTTACCCACTTTGTACGCAGGGAAGGACAGTGAGGGCACAACTCTCTTAGCAGCAGCTGCTCCCTGGAAGACAGGGGCCCTAGTGGGTGGGGTAGCTGGGAGGTGGCATGGGGTCTGGGGCGCTGGGCAGGGAAGGCTGCATGGACAGGCTCTGTTGATGTCAGTTCTAAATTCCTTGTGTAAAATACCCCTTGGCCTTTCCCCATCCCCCTACAAGAAGTCTGGGCAAGCCTCTCCAGGGAGATTCCAGGATGGTGGAAAGGAGGGTGTCTGCCTAAGTCATGTTGGGTACCCCAGCCCTTGGTGCCCAGCCTTCCTCTGAGAGTGTGAGCTACCCAGGCCCACAAATAGGCCTGAGTGCCAAGAAAATCCCTCTAGTGGTGGCTTTCAGGGCTCTGGCTAAGGATGGGCTCCCAGACAGGTCCCTGCCCCTGCACTCAAAGCATTTAGGTAGGCCAGGGGGTGCCCAGGACCTCCAGGTATGGCTGGGGGTAGCTGGGGACTGAGGGTGCCTGAGAGAGCATCAGCACCAGAGTCATAGACACAGTAGTGGGTGGGTGGGGGAGCCTCCACGGCAACCAGAGGTGTTGGTGTGAGCATGATGTCAGCACATGCAGCTGGATGCAGGGATAAACTGGGAGGTATGTGGTATACACACACACACACCCCATACATACTGCATAGGACTCAATGAAACAAAGGCATTACTTATATGACAAGGACACAACAGGAATCCTGTCAGGAGGGTGGCTGGCAGACTCGTGGCCCCTAAATGCATACAACCCTTCATCTCCAGAACCTGTGAATATGTGACCTTACAGGGCAGAAGGGACTTCTGCAGATATGATTAAGGTTGCAATCCTTGAGATGGGAGATTATCCTAGATTATCTGGATGGGCCCAATCTAATCAAATGAATCATTAAAACTGGAAAGCTTGGCTCGGCGCCTATAGCTCAACCGGCTAAGGCGCCAGCCACGTACACCTAAGGTGGCGGGTTCGAATCCCCAGCCCGGACCTGCCAAAACAACAATGACGGCTGCAACCAAAAAATAGCCGGGCGTTGTGGCGGGTGCCTGTGGTCCCAGCTACTTGGGAGGCAGAGGCAGGAGACTCGCTTGAGCCCAGGAGTTGGAGGTTGCTGTGAGCTGTGATGCCACGGCACTCTACCCAGGGGGACAGCCTGAGGCTCTATCTCAAAACAAAACAAAACAAAAAAAAACTGGAACGCTTTCCTCAGCTGGGTCAAGGATATGATGTGCGACGGACTGGGTTCTTTCCACCGTGGCTGCTGGCGGGGCAGAGGTGGCCTGGGGAAGCTGGGCACAGCCCTCAGTGCATAGAAACTTGCTCCCACAATCCTAAGGAACTGGGTTCTGTGGACAGCTGAGTGAACAGGAAACAGATTCTGCCCTGGAGCTTCCAGAAAGCAAGGCAGCCCACCAACACCTTGATTTCAGTCATGTGAAATCCATGTTGGACTTTTGATCCAAGTTTGTGTTAAGCTGCTTAGTTTGCAGTAATTTGTTAAGATAGCAACGGAAAAGTAATGTAACGAGGAGACATCAGACAAACCCAAGCTGAGGGACAGGGTTAGTTATCAACAGAACTCCTCAAAATTCTTAAGAACAAAGACAAACAGCTGAACAGAAAAATGAGCACAAATGAACAGCATTTCACAGAAGAAATATGAACAGGCAATAAAAATTCAAATAATTTACCTCATTTGTAATTAGGGAAACAAATTAAAGCCACAATGAGATTATGTTTTATTCACCAGATTGGCCAAATGTTGAGGACAGTGAGAGCAGAGAGCAGAAGTCTGAAGGTTATATCCCTGAGTCCAAATTGGGCTAGCTGCTCTTTTTGTAGATAAAGTTTTATTGGAAGACAGACACACCCAAGTGTTTATGTGTTGTCTACGGGCTGCTTCTGATCTGTAATGGCAAAACTGAATAGTTGTGACAAAGACATACGGCCTGCAAAGCAGATGCTTAGTTTTTATTTAGTTTATCATTTAATTTTTTTAAGAGATAAGGTCTCCCTCTTTTGCCCAGGCTGGAGTATAGTGGCTTAATTATAGCTCACAGCAATCTTAAACTCCTGGGCTTACCCACCTCTTTCCACTTCAGCCTGCAGAGGTGTGAACCACCACAATGCCTGGCTAGTTTTGAAACTTTTTGTAGAGATGGGGATCTTACTACGTATCTAGGGTGGCCTCAAACTCCTGGCCTCAGCCTACCAAAGTGCTGGGATAACAGGCATGAGCCACTGCACCTGGCCTCCAGAAAATCTTTGCTAACCTCTGATGTAAACCAGGAAGAACTCTTATAGCTACTTTGAAGAGCAATTTACCAATATCTAGTAGAGTCTTAGGTACACTTATGCTTGAATCTGCAATTCCACCTTTAGGTATTTATTCTAGAGAAACTCTAAGAAATATACCTTAAGGAGACAAGTACGTTCACTGCATCTCTGTTTATGATGGCAAGTAATTGGAAACGATTCAGGTGCCCTGAGTAGGAGAATGGCTTTATATTCTGGGCTATTTACACAATGGGATTTGTAGAGTAGCGAGAATGAAGGACTGAGATCACAGGCAGTGTGGTGGTGAATCTCCTAAGGGAACATCTAAGTTTGAAGGGAGTTCTAAGTTTCTGGTAGTATTTTGTTTTTAAAGCAGGATAGTGGGTCCGTAGGTATTTATCGTTATTTGTTAAACCATACATTTAAGTTTCATACACTATCTTTTGCATGCATATTTCATAAAATTAAGTACCTAAACAGCAGGTTATAGAATGTATGATTCCATTTACATAAAAACAAATGAATGCAGGTATTTATCGTTCTGGCTTTTCCCTGGCCCTACCTCTTCTCTTGAGGGTGGGGCAGAGCTTTACCTAGCAGCTGCACTGCTTGATGCCTGAAGAATAGGCCTCTGCTCTAGGACTTAAGATCCCCAAGGTGCCTGCACGCATAACCCTGTTTCCGCTGATAACTTCTCCCAGCAGCCTTTAATTCTTCCTAGGCACAGTTTCAGCCAGTTTAGAATCACTTGCTTCTTCCTGAGAAGGCCCTTTCCAGCAATCCTGTCTCTATGCATTCATTCAGCAGCCTCATGTAAGCAACTTGTCAGTACCAGGAATTCACAGACGTATCAAGGACCTTCTTCTGTTCTCTCCCCAACCTCCATTGTATACAGGAAGAATTCTCCTTTGTCTTTTAAGCCCCAGCCTAGATGCCTCCTCTTCTTGAAGCCCTCGTAGATTTCCCTGCTCACACAAATCTCTACCTCTCCTGTCCTCTCACAGCATTTCCTTTGCTCCTTGCTATCTGGGTACAGTTCTCTAAGGCACGGGGGCCTGAGAAGCAGATTCTCGGGGTCCCTCTTTTTTTTT